AAAATAAATGATGAAAGGAGTGAATTCTTTTTTTTTTAAATTAAAAATGAGAAAGAAAAGGCCCTTTCCCCCCACTGCTTTTAGCTCTTCACTTCCCCGATGTCTGTTATGATTTCTTCATGGACTCTTCAATGTTATATTTGAAGGTTTGGGGCCAGAGGAAACCTAGCCAAGCTCTCTCACCTGCCACAGGGTTACTTGTTTCAATGGGGATATAAACTGCATGGAAATTCGCACAGATGGAGCTGTGTTGTGTAACGATAACTGATGCTACCCCTACCAAAATGAGTACAAGATGTGTCCATAGCTGAGAGCAGTCTGTTACCTCTGCTGACACCCCAGCAACAATTTGCTCTAGCTGTAAGCTCTCTTGTTTTACATTGGCTATGGCACAATACAGCAGGACAAAACCTCTGCTCTTCCAGTCCACCTGGGCCTGCAAGGACGTACGTGCTGCTTTTCTGGTGCAGCCCAGATGAATGGCGTCCTGCAGGATCAGATGCAAGTACATGTGTGGGTGGAGAAGCAGGTCAGTTTGGCCCATGCAATGCTCTGTGCTGTCCTTGTGCCTGAGCAAATGCATTTAAGGCAGGTCAGGCACCCAGACCTGACTCTGCTGTCCGTATGCACACTTTGCAGAATCAAGGCCTTAGTAAATGAGTGGCACCAAGGATTTGGCTCACACATTGTCAGAGCCTGTGTATTGTAGCAGCATACTTACAATAAATAGCACAGGATTGTTCTCCCTAAGGAGTGAAGGTTTACAGACATGTAAACATGGTTATGAGCATGTTTTATTAATTTCAGTTTCTTTATACATTTGGGGTGGAATTCAGCTGTTGAAACACTAGTTTCTGGTGCACGTAAGATGCCCTCAGGTCTCCTGCCCACCCTCCAGCTGCCGTTCCAGAAGGCCGTTGCCTCTGCGGTATCAGCCATCCCCACGAAGATGCCACAGGTGCCCTACAGCATCTCAAGCCACAACAGAAATGGTCCCTAGGAGGTTATGTTTAAGGTCAGTTCCCTCTGGCAGAGATGAAGGTGGACTAAGCTAACAGCTAACTAAATTTGAGGCTTTATCTTTAAAACAGAGCTTTAACAACATGTTTTATCAGAAACCACCTAGTGCAGCCAAGGTATTGCCATGCAAAAGAGTTTTGTGCGCCTGCTACCCGTGGCTGCCAGACCACAGCTGCTGCGGAGTTATTAAACAGAAGCAGTCGTAAGGTTTATGTTAGACAACTCTACTAGGGGACTTAAGCTCTGTTTCAAGACTTCAGGGCCGAGATTAGTTTCACCTAAGGACCTAATGGAAACGCCTTAACTTCCTGTAACATCCATGGAAAAGTGTAGGCATCTTCAGAGGGGAATTAGGTGCGCTAATGCTACCTCTGGAAATCTCTTGCTCCCTTTTAATTACAAGGTGGACTGACCTTAGCATAACCATGCTTCTAGCTCAGCGTGCCTAAAGTTAGGCAGACGAATCTGAGCCTAAGAGCTTCACAGAGCCACAGTACCTTGAAGAGATCCTCAGCAATTTGCAACTTGTCGCACATCTCCGAGAAGAGATTTATACTGCCATGATCGAGCAACAGGTAGACAAACACCATGCGCTTGTTAGCTGCCTCCAGGAGGTCACAAAGAATCTCAGTGTCTGTGAACACATCCATCACGATAGCTAGCACCTAGGGGGGAAAAAACAGGCATTAGCAGAGTCAATTTACATAACTTAAGGTTGCCTGTGAGGCCACTGAAATGTAGTTTACTTTTTAAAAAAGAATATTCCAACAAACGCAAATCTTCAAAGACATATGTGGATATTTCTTCTGGTTTTCTCCCTAAGTGCCTGAATCAGTAAAACGACAAGACATGTTGCATCATTGTTTTATTGCTCATATAAAGCCAATATAACACGCAACTTACGCACTTCAGTTAAGCTCTTTTAATCATAAAACACAAGATGACCCATGAATTTGTAGGTGAGATTTCAGCAGGAGGAAATATATTGAAGTGATAATCGGAGAATAATAAGGATGTAGCTAAAATAAAAGACTGCAGCCCTTGCCAAACAGCTGACTAGCTTTCGTAAGTCGCATGCATTTAGCAAGAATCACTGGATGATGCTTTCTCTGTTATGACTTACACCTGGAATGGTCCTGACTTTAAATCCTCACTCTGTCGGTGGTGGTGGTGCGACAGACTGCAACAGCTCCATCTTTTTTTGTTTTTTTACAATGATTTATAAACTAATTGTCTCATTTTAACCATACATCCATGCTTCCCAATTCACAACTGGCAGGACAGTGTGTAAAAGTCTCATGACTGGGCATAAAAGCCCCAACAGCTACTTAAATGCACAGCCTCCAGCCAGCGTGGATCGAAGGAACAGTAAATGCGATATAAACCCACTTCCATACTCCAGCCTCTACGCTCAGCATTGGGCACGGCCTCATGAAGGTCTTTGTTGATGTCTGCTGTTGTCCATGGGAAGGGTCATCTCCCTAGGGCAATTCAGCCCAGCTAATACCTGACTTATCCTCAGAAGGTGCCTATTTGTCCATTGACTAGAAAGGGAACCCTTGATAATTGTACTCACAGGATATCGTCTTCAATCAAAACAAACTTTACAGTATCTCTGCAGATCTGTCTTACTAATTGCTTCCAACTTGCACTGAATCTTACTCCAAAGCCTGTGCCGACACCTGCCAGCAAGCTTATTCCCTTCACCCCCACGAGGAAATCCTACAAGACCAAGCACATCCTGTGCGGCCAGCATCCTGTTCAGGCAAGCCAAATGATTCGCGGATCAGTGAGGATCCCACACCTTCCTTCTGCTGCCAGAGCCCGGTGCTTCAGAAAGGGCCTTGCCAGTGCTTGGTAAGTGGCACAATTATGTCCAGTATCTCACATCCACACTTACTGTTAACTCACCTTGTCTTTTTAAACGGCACAATACCACATCCAGCCTCACCGTAGCTCCAGACCACTCTCTCTAGTACTGCTTTTTCACCAGCTGTTCCCAATTTGTGTTTCTGCACCTGACTTTCCGCTCTTACTTGCAGTACTTCTCGCTTCTTTTGCCCAAATTTCATTTTACGATTTGCACCTATTCCACAAATGTGCTAAGATTATAGTACTACTTGCCAATCCTTTGCAGTTTGATGTCCTCCACAAACTCAGTCTTTATTCTGTTGTTTAAGTCATTAATGGATATATCAAATACTAGGCTACCCAGGACAGACCTTTATCAGATACTAATTAATAAATGCTGCCATTGAAAAACTGTACTCAAAAAGCAGTTGCCAAATTTATACTGTGAGTAAGTGTTGCTCCAGCAACTTCTTGTAATGTAAATTAGATGGTTAAGAAGGTCATGTGAACCATGGATTTATATTACATTTCCCAATTTTTCCCCTACAAGTTTTCTCCTCTTGGGACAGAAAATTGGCCTGGGTTCATACTTTACCTGATGTTTATTATCCCAGAGACATTTCTTCTGTTACTGTATCATTCTGATGCCGCCAACTTAAAATGACTGATCTGTAATTCCCCTGATGTGCTGACCACTTGTTGCCTTTGACAGGGCAGTTGCCAACGGGCATTCTTCGCCCCTGCGATTACACTCAGCGTTATTGGACCCAGCACTTGCCCTTACAGGAGAATAATAAAGCGAAAGTCTGTAACTCCAGTGGGCTCCGCAGCCTGTGCCAGACAGCAGGCACTACAGCCTGGTTTTGTTCCTGACCGTTCCCCTGTGAAAACGCTAGTGGCGTCTCAAATTTATACACAGGGAAAACTCCTGGATGATGGTAAACACAGCCCTGAAATGTCAAATTTTTTTTTTTCCAGGAAAACAGGAGAGCTGCCAGAACACACGACAGAGACTTTTTGTCACCCTCCAGCTGCTCAGCTTCTGGTTTCCCAGTGCATGGGCAGCCTGGCTTGCGGCTGGCACCTCTCTGTGGTCCCCCTGTCACTTGTCTGTTGTCAGGGGCATCATCTGTAGCTTTCCCACATGCCAAGTTATGCTGCAGAGTCTCTGTATGCAGCCCATGTGGCATTTTTAGTGATACTGACAACATATTAGGGATGAAAGGTCTTTTTTCTGAATAATTTCTTTCCTCTGGGGATGGCTGCTGGCACATCAGACACACATGCCCTTCTCCAGGCTCCCCTTCACCCACATCTCCCATCAATCCCCTAAAACAATCGCTAATGGCTCAGAGCTCGCATTAGCTTAATTCTCATTACCGGTGCAATGGTCTGAATGGAGCAAACCATCCTGCTGGTGATGCATGAGAAGGGATAGAGCCCAGCTGCCCTTTCTACGGCACATTTGCTCTGCCAGGTTAATGGGAGTTTAAAAGAAGAGGGAATGCTTTTTTTTTTTTAAGTCACCAACATAAAAAGGTGTTGGTGTGAGTACAAAAAAAAGCACTGCCTGTGTTCAACAACGGGCTCTTTACAGCTATTTTCTAGAGCAAAGCTACTCTGCAACGCACAAGGCTGGCTCGGATCAAACACCGCATTTACCTGACTTTTTTAAGAGCAGGAAGACAACTGAGTGCAAAGGGGACAGCAATTCTCTCCCCCTACCTGAGTGGTCTTGTTGATGTACCGGCGTATGATGTCTCTAATGTTGCTGTTCTTCTCTGTTTGGAAATACACAGTGGCGGTGGATTTTTCCTTTAAATAGGGCTTCTCCGCTGTAATCCATGTGTGCAGCAAAGCTGGCTCACTGCTGTCAGAAATGGTGGGGAAGTAGGTCCCTGAAGGGAGCGACCCGGCATCGGTCTGCTTTGGCGCAGCCGTCCCATCGGTGGCCAGGGACTCCTGTGCATAATAGGATTCCCTGGCATTATCCTTGATGTACTGAGCTTCCACCGAGGAGAGGAAATCCACCTCGCCCTCTTTGCTTAAAGTTTCGAGGTAGGAGTCTGTCCCACCATCCAGGAAGGCGTCAGTGGCCAACCTTATGCTTTCGTTGTGGCTGAAATCCGCTTTTGTCAACTTCGTGGACTGGTTCTTGATATCCTCCAGCCTTTTCCTTATCTTGCCCATGTGTCTGGAGTGGCTCATGGCTCTTTGTCGCAGCAGTCGATCTGCCAGGCAGGCACCATGCATATGCACAGCGCAGGCAGCGCAATTGTCCTTCTTGTTTGGAGACTGCATTCTGGCGTGAAATCGCCTCGGCTGAACGAATTAACTATGAATAAAAATAAAGAGATCTTATTACCTCAGGCAAATTCACACTCCCTGATTTCGTTGGTACAATTATCTTCAAAAAAAACCCGAAGCTTGTTTCTCAGGTGGTGGGGTACTTCGGCAACAATCTGTTTCCAGATGGGACAAAAGTGCAAAGTCGATTAGATTACTTATCTGAGAGGCACCCACCTCACCCCCAGGGCATATGAAGGTTTCGAGTCCAATTACCAGGGCTGTCCGATTCGGTTGTATTTCCCTTCCTGTCGCATCCTGTGAAATGTGAGAGAGGAAAGCACTCAAGCAAAAGCAAGTAGGCTCCCAAGCATCGTTGCACAATCTTCAAAACAGCTTGAGGCTTCTCTGTCTTCCCATAGCATTTGTTATGGAGCAAAAACAACTCTGACATTGAACTGGGACAGAGACATCAGCCATGTCCGTAGCTTCAGAACAGCAGAAAGGGTCACGGTCCCTTGGCTGCAACTACATGCTGCCACGCAGGCTTAAAAATAGACTTGAACTTCGTCACTGTGCCCTGTTCGTAGTATGTTGCTATTACCATAGACGATTCACTCATTTACTTCTTTAAAGCTTTGTGACTACGCCATCCTATTAAAAGAAAAATACCCCTTCCCAAACATCCTGAATATTATGTGGAGGGAGGGTTGTGAGCTGGCCTCAAAGCATCAGAAATACAAACACTCATCACTTGATTGTGCACATTTAGGGCTGTTTGGTTGGTTTCTTTTTTTTTTTTTTCCAGGCTGCAGCTTCTGGAGTCACGTTGTCCCCGTGGCAGCTCGGCTGCTATGTCATTAGCAGGACGGAGGTGCAGGTTCGCAGCGGGGTGAGAGGTGCAGTGCCTCCAGGGAGCCAGGCCGACTGGTATGACTGCGCGGGGGTGAGGAGAGGCAGGGTGGGAAGGCACCTTGCCTGAGGTACGCCATACATACCTGTGTGCATGCTTTAATGCAGAGGCACGTGTGACACAGTTTTCTCAAGCAGGTTGAGTTTGCCCTCACCCTGCATAGCTCAGCATCCGTAAACCAGCGTGCCACGGCTCTGGAGGGGAGCGCAGGATCAAGGGGACACACCAGTCTGGGCTCTTGCACGGGGGTACGGGCTGCTGAAGGCACGTCTGAGCGGGGAAAGGGTCCTGCTGCTCTGACCAACGCACTTGGGACCATGGACTTCTGCAGGGCCACTCAGACTGACACAGGCCCAGTTTCTCCAGGGGAGCTTCCCAGATTCTGGGTCTATGTCAGATGCCTTATGAGGGGAAAAAAAGTAATTACACGTGACGATGACACAAACATATACATATGAAAAGAGAAAAGGGTATGAAATGGTTCAGATTTTAATCCCGGAGCCACAGAGGGCAGGAAACACCCACCTGGGGGCCGAGGAGAGGTGGTGGTGGGGCCCGTCCCCGAGCTGCTGGTGTGTTTAAGAACTATCCTGTCCCTCCCCCCCACCCCCAACATCCGCCCACAGCTGTCAGACGCGGCCAAAAGTCACTAATTATCTACTGACCTGTTCTGCACAATTATGCCGAAAATGATGCCACCTAATTATCCTGACATGCAAGATTGCGCCCTGTGAACGCCGATCGGCCCTCCCTGTGCCCAGCAGGGCTGTCACCCCCCACCCCGGCCAGGACCAGTGCTGTCACCTCGGGTCCCACATGGTTACCCAATGTCCCACACAGTCACCCTGGTCCCCACATGGTCACAGCAGGGCCCCACGCAGGCCACCAACGGTTGTCACCATGGAGCCTCACAGTGTCACCCCAGGGAACCCCCGTTGTCACCCTGGGGTCCCACTTGGTCACTCCCGTGTCCCACATGGCCACCACAGGATCCCAAACCATCACCATCAGGACCCACACAGTCACCCTGGGGCTCCATAGCCACCACAAAGCCCCGCACCGTCTCCACAGGGCCCCACTCAGTCACTGTGGGGTCCCACACGGTCACTCCGAGGCCCCACGAGGTCACCGCGGGACCCTCCGGCAGGGAGCCCGCTAGAGCAGTCGGAGGAAGGACGGCCCGGGCCGTCCCTCCCGCCCCTCGTTGTCCCTCGGCGCGGGCTCAGGCGGCCGCGCAGCCCTCAGCGGCCCTGGCAGGACGAGGCGCCGCCGGGGCGGGGCCGAGGGGCAGCGTCGTGAGCCAGCGCAGGGAGGGTACTTTCAGCCGCCTCGTTAGCGCAGTAGGTAGCGCGTCAGTCTCATAATCTGAAGGTCGTGAGTTCGATCCTCACACGGGGCAAAGGCGGGGAGCTTCTTTTCTTCTGCGGCGGGACGTTAGCGCAGTAGGTAGCGCGTCAGTCTCATAATCTGAAGGTCGTGAGTTCGATCCTCACACGGGGCAAAGGCGGGGAGCTTCTTTTCTTCCTGCGGCGGGACGAGGCCCCCCCGGCCGGAGCCCGCAGAGCTGCCGCGGCCCCCGCGCTTTTAGCTGCGACAGAACCCGTACAGAATTGCTCTCTAACCCCTTAGCTTTGTCGTTGCTGTCGTGATTTACGAAGCTGTAGTGCCAGGGCAGGGGCCTGTGTCTCCTGGTTGTGCACTCACGGGAGTAATTTCCACGACGTATATTGTTCAAAAAAAGCACTTCGGCAGAGGGTTTTCTGCATTCAAGCTGTCTGCAAGCCCATTTCAGGATTTGGGAATGGGGAAATCGGTCCCGCTCCTGCGGTGGGCTGCGGGGTAAACCCAGGGCGCAGGCAGGGCCGAGGGGTCACGCGGCCCCCGGCAGCAGGCAGGGACCAGGAGCTGCTACTGGGGCACGACAGGGCACCAGCTCCTGCCTGCTGGAAACGCTCTGGTTTATGCACATTCACAGCTGTAACGTTTTTACAAACCGTAAGTGCGGGCATATATGGGCCAAGGCGCTAGCCAAAAACTTTGTGCGTTTTTCTCTTTAAATATAGAAATTATCACATGTAAACTCCAAGACAGTCATCAGAACAAGGCACTTTCCTCATCTACTCCTTCTGCCTCCCAGAGATGATCTTTGCCTGTTGCGTTTTTCTCCCTTTGAAAAGGGACGATGCCTCTTCCCCGCACTCTGCTGAGGGCTGCCATGAGATTTCCATGGATCCCTGTTGCTGCTAATGTGACTGTTTCTGGTTCTAGACGCTAATAGGATGCTAATAGTGATAGCCAGTGAAAATCAGCCTAGCAGCACAAAAATAATTGTTTTTATTTAGATCCTCTGTCTCCTTTCTTTATCATGAAATGTACCTGCTAATATGTGTAACAACTACGCATATCTCCAGCAATGGAGGTTCCACAGCCTCCCTGGGCCATATTTTCAGTGTTCGGCTCTCAATGGAAAGGACTTTTTCTCTAATTGCAAATTTCCCTGCTGCAACTTGTAGAATCCACTTACACATCACTGACAAAACCAACATTTTAACAGCAGTTTGTTTCTTCAAGTCATGGTATTCACCAGAAAGTGCACAAATACTTCAAGTGTAATAACTTAATGGTAAAAAGTGAGTTTATTTTAGAAGTAAAAATAGCATTATAGTTACCAAGAAAATAATGAGAAGGTTACAAACAACACACATTTTTCTAGCTAGCATTTTTATATAAAAATATTTCCAAAGACCTTCATAATAAACAATCTATGATCAGTCCTTAATCACACTGTACATATTTAGCGTTTCACTGATTAATAATTTGAAAGTACAGATGAGGTCCAGACCAAACCATCTCAAGGTGTCCACTTTGTAGCTTGGAAATGAGTTGGAGGATGTCTAGTTCGAGCCTGTGAGGTAAGCTTTTGTCTGAGCCGTCTGACTTCTGCCATCAGTTCCCGCTCTCGGCATGCCAGTTCTTGTCTTCTGTCTAAAGACACTTAAGTGCAAGAAACTCGGACTTAATATTGGAACTAACAGTTTTCCATAAATACCATAAATGCTCATTGGAAAACTGATACCTCCTGCATAGAAACACTATGTTTTATTAGCACCACTGTATGCGAGACAGCCCTAGGACCCATAAAAACAAGGAACAACTCCTCCTAGGTTCTTTGAAAGTGGTACCTATGTTTTGTTACAAAAAGGTCAGATGCTGATGGGTCGCTATGGGAGGTCCATAGATATACATGTTTCCCATTGCGTACAGTTTTGTACATAAGATGCGTGTGGTTTTAAAATGTGCTTTCACTGGCCATAACGGCTAGGACAGCCCAGAGGAAATGATTACAGACTAATTCCTGACTGTAACTCTCAGTAAGACTTTGAAGAAAGACAGTTCTACATCTTCTCAACATCCCCAAATCATACATAACGATGAAGACAGAAAAAGCATAGGTAAAATGATCAGGTCAGAATGAGATGAAACTGGGCTGAGAGTTGAGAATATGACTATTCTCATAATGTGATGCACTTCAGGCACTTCCTACCTGTGCTGCCCCTGGTAGTGAAGACATTTTTTCAGGTGTGAAATAGAATACAACAATAAACTCATTTACTATCCACTAAACACCTACACAGCTAATAATGACTCAATCGCACAATGAGGTGATCCATGCTTCTGAAATTAAATGTTAAAGAAAGGAGGGTCCTAACTTAGAAACTTACTGTGTGATGATGACTCTGATGCAGACAAATCATTGAGACAGATGTTTCCAGACCTTGGCACCTGCTGGAGTTCTACCCCTCTCTCTGTACATCTGGCCTTTAAAACACGCAGTCTCTCTGTGGGAAGTGGAGAGAAGGATTCTTTTTCAATTAAAAGTGTTTAAATTTCTAGGAATTTTTCTAGCTTGAGGTGAAACAGTTTTTCTCCAGGAAGCAAAACTGGAACAATCACTCACTCCAGCTAATGGCAAGTACAATTTGCTCAGAATTAAAAGTCAATGTTTCTAGTCTATGGGTCAAGGCTATGCATCACTGCATTTCATTTCAAGAAATTACAGCTCCACATGTGCTGTTTCTTCCTATATAATTAATCTTCTGACAAATGGGCCACTAAGATCATGTGGAATATGGCTACTCATACTTGCAGTTTTAGGAGGAGACACCCATTTTAATAATTGGCAGTTACAAATTACTCCATATTAAAAACATTAGGCAAATAAGGGCAAAGTCTGAAAAAGTTCGCCCAAAGCAATATTAATCACCTAATCTTAATACTAATCACTAATCTTGTGTGAGCCTTGCAGAGATGGAGGAATAGGAGAAATATCTGCAAAAGCACACAAATGCAGCATTTGAGAAGGATGTACTGGCCAATTCTGGAAGCGCATAAATGTTTTTCTCCTGTGAACAAACACTTGGCAAAGTCACTTGTTGGCAGTGAGTTTGCTGTTCTTTACATTACTTGACAGAGGATTTCTAAGGGATGCGATTTTATGATCGGCTTAAGCTGATCTAAACCTGTGCTTCTACCAAAAATGCCATTTATATTGCTGCATCTGATAGATATCAAACTGAGATCCTGATATATTGGTTTCATGAAAGA